ATGACTAGGGAGGTGATTCCAGCTGTGACTGGGGGGGTGATTCCAGCTATGACTAGGGAGGTGATTCCAGCTGTGACCGGGGGGGGTGATTCCAGCTGTGACCAGAGGGGTGATTCCACGTCTCCATGTTCCCAGGAGAGTCAAACTTTATCAAGCAGCTAGTCCACTTTGACAAGGACAACATCTCAGAGCAGGTTCTGAAGAAGATCGGTCAGTACTGCACCCAGGCCGACTTCCAGCCCGAGATCATCGGCCGTGTCTCTCTGGCCGCCAAGTCACTCTGCATGTGGGTTCGCGCCATGGAGGTCAGGACGCCAAGCTCCACTTCCCACTGCTTTACACACACATGCATCACATTCTTAGGATATGTTTATGTAATGTCCCCACAGTGTGATAAATACTTGTTATTTTGAAATTGCGAAGACATTTTGTCAGTCTCCACAAGGGGAAACTCAATTTTATAAAAATCTGGGATTTATAACGCCTCTGGGACCAGGGTTTGAGTCTGTGTGCTGCAGCTTCATCTTCTGGGCCAGCTTCCCACATTCTCCCAGTGTCATCGTGGGGTTTCCTCCACAGTCGAAAAACATGCTGATGTTAATTGGAGTTACCAAATTGCCTATACGTGTGAATGGTGTGTGAGTGTCCTGCAATGGGATGGTGCCCCATCTTGGGTTGTTCCCTGCCTTGCGCCCATAGCCTCCGAGGCTCTGGACCCTGTGACAATGAACAGGATATGTGGGTACAGAAAATGCATGGATGGTAAACAGCTAAATATGCCAAAAGACTTGTATTTTGTTTGGTTACATATGGTTAAGGTTAGGGCTGGGTAGGAGTTAAGGTCGTCATTGTTGGAATTAGGCTTTTGCCCATAGAAATGAAAGGAGAGTCCCCAGAAAGATATGAATACAAATGTGTGTCTGTGTCTGTGTCTGTGTCTGTGTCTGTGTCTGTGTCTGTGATATCTATATGCTGTCCTCCCAGATGTATGGGCGGCTCTACCGCGTGGTGCAGCCAAAGAGGACCAAGCTGGAAGTGGCCAGGTCCCAGTTAGCAGAGAAGCAAGCGGCACTGGCTGAAGCTCAGGACAAACTGCGAGAGGTGAATCTGCACGTGTGTGTGTGTGTGTGTGTGTGTGCAGGTGCTTTGGTATGCAACAAGGCCCTGACCGGGTGCCATGCGGCGCTGACTAGGTGCCATGAGACCCTGACCGGGTGCCATGAGACCCTGACCGGGTGCCATGAGACCCTGACCGGGTGCCATGAGACCCTGACCTGCACACTGCCTTATGCTCAGTAATCTAGTCGTGTTGGCTCTGTAGATGTTCTTCACCACACACATAATGAGGCATTTAAAATGGAATTAAAAAAAATGTAAACATAATCTGTCTATAAATAAATTGCATGTAAGGATTAAAAGATTAGCAAAAATAAACAGAGCAAAACATTATATTAATTTTGTTTACTGACAGGTGGTGTACAGTGGAAACCAAGGTGTATATTATTCGGCCTTTAAGCCCAGCAACATCAAACACCATGATCATACAACGTAGTGGAGACCATGCATGATTTAAAATGGCTTCAGTGGTGGTTTTAACCCCAGTGATTTTAGAGCAGTTTGTACATCTGTCAAGGATTCAAGTTCACCTTCCTAAAATGACAGCTGAAGCTGCTTTGGGCTATTGAGTGATCTTATAGGTACTCTGTGGTGAATCTGTGTCAATAAGAATAGCGATATGATGCAGATCAACGTTCTGCACGCGCTGCACTGAGCAGCACAGTGAAGCTCCATTCAGATGGATCGTGTGAAGATTGCTGCTGAAAATACTGGTCTTCCTCTCTGATTTCTGAGCAATAAGTGAGACACACTCAGTTTTTTGAATGTGTTGATAGCGCACGGGGGTGCATCGTGTGTCCGTTAGGTGGGAGAGAAGCTGGAACAGCTGAAGCAGCAGTACAGTGAGAAGCTGGCCCAGAAGATGAAGCTGCGGCAGAAATCTGAGGACATGGAGCTGAAGCTGGACAGGGCCGGCAGGCTGGTGTCTGGACTGGCTGCGGAGAGGGAGCGCTGGGAGGACACCATCAAGGTAGCACTGAGCCGCCACCAGGGGGGGCTCCAGTCTGACACAGCAGGCATGCCGTGGGACACACAGGGACCTCCATCACCTCATGAGCCTCCCCTCTGACATGCATAGGGCCTGGAAATGGACATGGGCTACCTGGTGGGAGACTGCCTCTTGGCTGCAGCCTTTCTGTCCTACATGGGTCCGTTCCTGTCCAGCTACCGGGACGAAATGGTCACCAACATCTGGATGAAGCAGGTATCCTGATTCCCTTTGGCTTCCCTTCCGCTCTTCGTCCGTGCGGGGTTCAGGCAGACCCCCCCCCTAACAGTTGCACCCCCCCCCCGGCCGCCCACAGATGCAGCAACTGGAGGTGCCGTGCTCACCCACCTTCAGCTTCTCCGCATTCCTGGCCAAAGCCACCTCCATGCGCGACTGGAACATGCAGGGGCTGCCGTCTGACGCCTTCTCCATGGAGAACGGAGTCATCGTCACCCGTGGGAACCGGTCAGACCTCCCCGTACCCCTCCGACATACACAAATCTAAGCTCGCTGATTTATAATGTGTTAGTAAAGGTCTCTCGTATGAGCTTTCCAAGTGGAACAAAGGCTACTGGGTTCATCAGACAAATAGCCTTTCACAGCTTCGCATGGGAGAATATTTGCATTTTAAAACAAAAAGACAAAACTTTCTGGGCGCTGCACTTGATTAAAGGCCTTGCATGCAGCATGGAGTCTGAACTCAGCCTGATTAATAAACAGCCAAAACAGGAAGGAGAGGCCAAGCTGCGGACTGTGCCAGCTCACAGGCCGCTGGGTCGCCGGGTCACCGCACTCCCGAGCGTCTCCTGCCATCCCAGGATGGAGTCCCACCCCAGCCCCCAGCTCCCCCCGACCTGCGTGGCTGACTGTAAAAGAGATCAGCATGTGTATGGCAGCCGCAGGGGCACAGCCGCATCCCGACCGTGGTGTTCAGCTCGCCACCACTGGCCTATGAAATATATCATGGGGGGAACACAAACCCACCGCTTGTCCCCAAACGTTTTTCTTTCCAGCTGGGGGGCTGGGCGGTATTGTGTTACACTGTGTAGATATTACATTTTCCCAGTCAGAAGCCTTTTTACGGATCGTTCACCCAACGTGTGTTTATTTTACAGGCATCGACTCACACGCCGCATAATAGAACGTAATAGAATTAGCAGTCATTACAAGACCTGGTTTAAACGGCGCCTCATTCTCTCTTCTAAGATGGCCCCTCCTGGTGGATCCACAAGGACAGGCTTTGAAGTGGATCAAGAACATGGAGACAAAAAGAGTGAGGCGATGGCGGCGGGGGGGGGGGGGTGCTTTTTTCCTATCCCTCCCTGTCCCAGCTCTCCTCCTCCTCTGCTCTCTCCATCTCCCCACTCTCTCTCCACACCAAAAGCAGGGCCACAGCTCACTTATTCAATTTCCTCCACAAAGGCCTTACACAGTACGTTTAAGAGATGCCTTATGAAATGAAATCCCCTGGCCTGGATCACGGTGTAGCTGTCCTTCTGCAGGAGACGGTGAGCCACGTTCTCAGGCGGCTGGCCAAGCGAAACCAAAACGAATCATGCGCTTTAACTCGTCTCTAAATCGCACAGAGAAGATCAGGGCAGAGCTTCAGCCGATTTCCCGCTCTCCCGCCGCACTGCGTTTTTCTGACCTGCCTTTCTGTGGGATGGCCTCTTCTCCCTGATCTGTTTCTCCTCCAGGCCCTTATCATCTTTCTGAGACTGCAGAGGCTGGCCAGCGGTTGAATGGGAATGTTACCTACAGGTGCTATTAACCCTGAAATTAGAAAGAAAAGGGAATTTATCATTTGTGCTTTCGCTTAGGAAAGTGTGATCACAGTATTTCCCTTTTTGCTCTCTGCTTATCCCCTAATACACAGTTTATCTGCTGGCCCCATTCTGACGCTTTGCAATTTTTCTTACATCTGTCCATTCATCCATCCATCCATCCATCCATCCCTTCATCCATCTTCCAATGGCTTATCCACCACAAACCTGAACAGGAGACACACTGGAGAGGATACCAAGCCATCACAGGGCTCATGCACACACATAAACACACACACTGCAGGCCGTTATGAACCACAGGAGGAACCTGGAGAGAGCAGAAGGAACCTGCAAGACAGACATGCCGAGTGCATACATACAGGCCAGCACATGGTCACCATCAGGGTGAATTGATGTGTTTGTTTGATAGTGTGTGTGTGGTGTCCCAACCCTGACTCCAGGGCCTGAAGGTCATCGACCCGCAGACTCCCGACTTCCTGCGCACGCTTGAAATCGCGGTCCAGTTTGGCACACCAGTGCTGCTGCAGAACGTGCGGGAGGAGCTGGACCCCTCACTGGCCCCCATCCTCAACAGAGCCATCACCCGTGTCGGTCTGTCAGGAACCCCCCACCCCACCCCCCCACATACATTCACATACAGCAGAGTCAAACCCCCCCCACAGCGTCTGACCTCTGACCCTTCAAGTGTCTCTTCTGTAGGTGACCGTTTTCTGCTGAGACTGAGTGACAAGGAGGTGGATTACAACCCTGACTTCCGCTTCTACATCACCACCAAGCTGTCCAACCCCCACTACACGCCCGAAATCTCTACCAAGACCACCATCGTCAACTTTGCTGTGAAGGAGCAGGTCAGTGATGCAGCATTCAGCAGTCTGACACATGTGTGAGAATGTGGCGAGAATATCTGCGTGTGTCTATCTGGCTTAGGGAAGGTCTGCAGTATAGCGAGCTTGTTAAGTTAGAGTGTGGCTGGGAAGGGGGCTCTGACTGGGGCCTCATATCTGTCTGTGCAGGACCGTTAGTCCTCAGAGCTCTGAATCTAATCAGAGCACGTCTCCACTGAACAGCTCACAGTTGTGGTGATTCACTGCTTCATTAAGAGCGTGACTCAGAGCATGCATTAGTGAGAAAGCACAGCTGTTCCAGCGCCGTTAGCTAAATGCGGGCCACGGTCGCAGGCTGACACACAGAGCCACATGGATGTGCTGCGCTGGGGGACTTCACCTTTAAGGCCGCCCCCTGCTTCACTGTGGAGCATGGCTGATGTGCCATGCACATGGTGCAGGGGCACTATGGGGTCAGTAGATTAGGGGTCTGTGCATGTTACCAGAAAGTTGTGGGTTTGAATCACATGGCTGGCAGAGCGAGCAATCAATGTTGGGCCATTGAGCAAAGCCCTAACCCCCAATTGCCAGGGGTGCTGTCTTACCCCAGACTTTGCTTTGCTTGTGTGCTTGTCAGGGTCTGGAAGCCCAGTTGCTGGGGATCGTGGTGAGGAAGGAACGTCCTGAACTGGAGGAGCAAAAGGATTCCCTGGTGATCAGCATCGCCTCTGGCAAGAGGAAACTGCAGGAGCTAGAGGATGAGATCCTCAGGTAATGTGCTGGGTCTGCCCTCTGTCTGTGTCTCA